TGGTTTGCTCTCTCCGACGTAAAACCCCAAATGAACCACTTCATCTTGATTAAAATTCCGATGTCCCTCAGATCATCTGCAAAAATACCTGGTACTTCGCTGTCAAATGCACTCTGAACATCAAGAAAAGTAGCGACTGTAACCTTCCCCTTATAAAGAAAGCATGCACTTAATTATTGATAATGATCAGACTATCGGTGCACAAATGCAAGGGTCTAAAATCCATTTCGGTCATTAGAGAATTGTCGTCGATTCCAAATACCAATTTAGCCTCAGAATCATTTTTTCTAGAATCTTTAGTAAATATGGTAAAAGTGAAATCGGCCTGAAATCTTTTCCTTCCGGTTTGGGAATGAATATCACCAACGACCAAAAGGGGGAAAAAACACTACGTGATTTAAGTTAAGATAGATTGTACATATCTAGCAAATGGTCTCGATACATGTCAGGCATGGTCAAAATAATTTCTATTTGGTCCAACCTCGGAGCCGAGTTGGAATTAACACTAGTCAAAATCATGCGAAGTTCGTCCTTGGTGAACGGGGGTCCAAGCTGCTCTCTACAGCGCTCTCCTCTTGAGTTTCCGGATCCGTGACTTCTGATACATTATTGCCAAGTTCAAGATAGAAATCCGAAGTGAGCCTTTTTCTGCTTTTTAGCTTTAATTCCAGATGTCTGATGTGAGTTACTTACCAGTTCGCGCTTCATAAAGGTTCTGATGAGCGACCAGATCTGCGCAGTTGGAGTTTTGGTACTGAAAGTGCCAACTAGAATCCTCCAATCTTTTCTGTTTTGCCTTTTGAGCACCTTCGCGCACAACTCCTTCAGATGAGCGTAATTTTCTTTCGTAGGCTGCTTCTTAAACATTTGAGCTGCAACTGTTTGTGAGAAGTAACAACCGCTTCACATTCACTATTCCATCAAGAGGCTTTGCCTGTTTCTTCTGCGAGCGGAACTTGTTTCTCCAGAGGAAAAAATTTAAAATTTAAAAGAAAAAATTTTAAATTTATTAAAGAAAGCACTCACATGCGCTTCCTTTAATAAATTTTAAATGTTTTTTTAAATGTTTGTACTTTTCTGAAACATCCTTTGACATCAGAAAAAAATTCGGAAGAAGTGACATACAGATCGATAGTAAGCGACCTCAATTCTTCCTTGCCTAACTTTAATTTATATTAAAATTGGCGGACTCTATCTACCTTACCGCCTATGAAGACATTAGATAATGATCTAAATTATAAGGATCCTCTTTCGTTTTCGAACTAGTAGTCAATGCCAGGCTAGATAAAGCCACTGATAGGTCGATGACGGACTTCTTGCGTCCCAGCAGCTGCATCAAAATAGGAGCGTCATTCAAAATTACGAACTCATGTTTGTCCAACTTCTTGTTCAACATACTACTGTGATCAAAAAGTAAGGTGAATTTTGTTATAAAATAAAAAATCTTTATTTATTCATCAAAATCAATTTGATCCCCTTCAAAGTAATCCCCCTCCGATACAATGCACTTATGCCAACGTTTTTTCCACGCCTCGAAACATGCCAAAAAGTCGTTTCCCGGTATAGCCTTCAAAGCGCGCAGCGATTCACGTTGAATCTCTTCAATAGATTCAAAGCGGTGTCCCCGGAGCGGTCTTTTGAGTTTGGGAAATAGCCAAAAGTCACACGGAGCTAAGTCAGGTGAATAAGACGGTTGCGGAACGATATGAGTGGAATTTTTGGCGAAAAACTCACGAAGAATCAATGCCGTGTGAGACGGCGCATTATTGTGATGCAAAAACCAGGAATTGTCTTTCCATAAATCCTTCAAAATTGTTTGAACTGAACCAAATGAAATGCCAACCATATCGACAAGGTCTCTAATTGTCAATCGACGATTTTCGAGCACCAATTCCTTGATTTTCTTCACGTGTTGCTCATCAATTGACGTTGATAGTCGTCCGGGGCGTTCCAAGTCATCAGTACGTTCTCTGCCTTCTTTGAAGTCTTTGTACCACTTATAAACATTTTTCTGCGACATAGTCGATTCTCCGAAGGCCCTCTGCAACATTCTGAACGTGTTTCCGCAGCCGAAATTTCATTCCGCAAACAAAATTTAATGGCACTTCTTTGCTCAGCAAAATCAGACATTGTAAAAATCGCCAAAATCACTTTTAGTCGTTTAGAAAACACAAGCGTAACTATATGACTAATGATGACATTGACATGAAATTTGCCACAGATGTCATTAACAGTAGTACCAACATAAAAATAAAAAAGTTTGCTCGAATCGATTAGCGCGGAAAGTTTAAATTAAAAATTCACTTTACTTTTTGATCACAGTAGTATGTCCTGCTATATCCGCATACGCACAATGCCAGTTGTTATGGTGTGCGTTTAGTTCACCTACAATTAACACATACTCAGGCTTGTTAGCAAAATTCAGCAGCGCGTCCAATGTATTATAACTGAGCGGATAACGCTATTCGAGTCTATAAATACAGGGTCCGGCAAAATGATCTCCCACATTTTAATCTTTAATAAAAACGCCATTGTAAATGCTATTTAGATTTTATTTTTATTAACTGAAAATGTATGCTATGCCATTTGTTTTTATTGAGTTTTGAAAATTACAGAGTCCAAGTGGCGACCATTTTTTTCGATACACATTCGAAGCTGATTTCTAAAAGTTTCCATCACTCGAGCAGTAATTTGAGGCGATATTCCTGTAATTTCTTGGCGTATTGCTGCTTTCAATTCGTCAATGGTTCGGGGGTGGTGTTGAAAAACCACTTCGCTTTCAGGTAGCCCCAAAGGAAAAAGTCGCATGGGGCAAGATCGGGTGAACGCGCAGGCCACCCAACGTCTCCACGTAACGAGATTACGCGTCCTGGAAACATTTCCCTTAAAACGTCCATTGTCCTTCTTGCCGTATGAGCCGTAGCTCCATCCTGTTGAAACCACACATCCGGATGTTCAAGTTCTCTAAGTTTTGGTTCCAAAAAATTGCGTAGCATGTCGACATATCGATCGGCAGTTACGGTAACCGTCACGCCTCCCTCTTAAAAAAAATAGGGACCCCAAACGCCAAAAGATCCAACAGCACACCAAACGGTAACAAATGGGCTGTGAAGTGGCCTTTCATGGAGCTGCCGCGGATTCTCTGGTGCCCAGTAGCGAAAATTCTGCTTGTTCACACAGCCAGACAGATGGAAATGAGCTTCGTCACTCGTTATTAAAAGAGCATTTTGTGGGATGTTTTTTCGATAACGAAGGCACGATGCTCGCCCGTCCAATTCATGACGACAACTGAAATGGCAAGGCGCGAGCTACCAACCGACTACGCTAAGCTCCCCCTCTCTTCAGTGGTTCGGGCACAGTGGCGGTGCAAAATGTGGGAGATCATTTTGCCGGACCCTGTATTTATGATCGTAATGATGTGTGTATCAAGCTATAACTTAACTCTTTAGATTTCTCACGAGGGATGTCAAAATAAGATCTAACGTATCAAACTTCTAATCTTTTCTCATAAAAATAGCAATTCCCTCTCTCGGTAATATCATTTGTATATGAGATGATGTACTAAACTTAGTCACATCTAATTATTAGAAGCGTTTCTTATAAGCATACAGTGTCGTATTTGAACAATAGGGACTTGGGGCAAATTGCCTCGGCTAAACTTTTAGATGGTTTCTTTATGTTTGTCGTCTCTGTTGTGATAAAAATGAAGAGGTTAAAAAAAAGTTAAAAAAAAAGTGTACCCGAATAACTACTCGAATTAGGAGGACTAGTGGACTGAATACCTGATGAAAAGAACCTAATTAAGCTGTTAATGAGGAGAGCAATATACAGTCCTTTGTCCTGTCTTACCACACACACAATGCAAGCAATAATTCTCCTATTAAGTTGATAAATGAGTTTGGCAAATCGGTGGAGAGGGGGGGGGGGGTCACTGTCCTCGCCCTGAGCCAATTTCGACAAAACGTATCGAGGGTGCCATTCATCTTCCAATCTGCCATTAGGATACAACAGGCTTTCTTTGCGTTCCGTCTCTAGATTGGTCTCACCGAGCGCTATATACCCACGACGAGAGTTGACATCCAAGCGTCGATAGAATGAAGAAAAGGGACGCGATGAGTTCGCTCTAAGACGACTAATTATCTCTTCAAGCGGTTTTTGATGCGACGATCCACTTACCTTATAACCGAGGACGTCAGCATACCAATCAAGGGCGTAACTTACATAATCGCTTAGCATGACAACAATTATCTGAAAAGCGCAGTTTGAAAAATTCTACACGTCTAACATTGACGTCCTCGCATTCGCTAAATTGATCAAAGGAAAATTGTTAAAATCAAAGCGTGGATCATCCGCAGGCGAGGCTCTGCTGTTGTTGCTACTGTATCTTATTCTGTGCATTCTTTAAAGAGATGTTTTCTATAGCTGCCAAATGTAGCACCGCTTTATGATTCTGAATCAAAAGTCAATCATGTAACATGCCAACCAGATGCCCTCCCAAACAGTTGTTATATCTCGATTGAGATTTATGTGGATAATCTGCATCATTCTTATGTACCTAATCTTTTTTTTCAGTAGACGCAGCGAGCGTCACCCTTGCATGGTTTGCCAATATAAACAACCCTATAATAATTGTAGCAATTAATAATATTCTTGAAGCTTTCACAGGTGCTTTCTATATAAAGATTATGCGTTTCGCGGGTTTTCTCCGTGTTCAGATCTATTCTTGGAATGTCAACGTTTTGTGAACCTTGCAGTCCACTTTATCAGGGCGAGAAGCAGCCTGATAGCTGTTCCTTCGGGCTGTTCTTTTTTATATTACGCTGTTTATTGGAGTAATGTGGTGGAGGGGGAAGAAGAGAATTGTGGGTGGGGGGCTTTATATAGAAAGCATCCATGGAAGCTTTAAGAATATTATCAAATACCTTTACGGGGAGAGTATCCTTGCTAAAATAAACACTTTCAACAAACTCAGGTCTTTCATAGCCAAGAAACTATCAAACATGACATTCCCAAAACGCTGTAGGGATAATAACATAATCCCAAAGTTCCTACAACTCACGGATCACATAGGAACTCATAAATCCAAAAACATCTATCATAAAACCAGCCCCATCCTCATCAAAGAACGAATCCACTTCACTAAGTCACAAATAGTGCAGATCTTTCATGTAACTTTTAAACTCCACCTGTTTCTATCCGCCACGTTGCGGCATGATATGTAACAAACACTAGATCGTATTATACGAACAAGCCATAAAGACCATCACACAAACCTCTAAAAAATAGAAACAGAAATATATAAACCTTGTCCCTCACAAAAATCCACGATCCTGATTACTTGACGTCAAGAACTTATCTAACAAAGACCTGTCTCAAGACACTATATCTGTACTTGCCCTAACTTTGCAGTAGTATCGAAAAAGGAAGAAATTATCAGCCAAATAGAATCAACCGATCAGAACAAGTAGATAATATCCACAACCAATTTTTTCCAAACCCTCTTCATCAAACATTACTAGACAAGAGCGATTGACCCTCCAAGACCTGAATAGGAACACAGACATCATTCCAGGCAATACGACAGATGTCATGGACACATCAGACTATAAGAAAAAGATGAAAAACTTTCTCTCAGACAAAGTATACAAAAAGATTGACAAAGATTCAACTAACACAATCGCATAGAACACCAAGATCCCAGAGAAAAACAACATTTCCAATAAACCCAATTGACATTAAAACCTACAAATCCTCTCCCATTAAGACTATACGGATTACCAAAAATACACAAACATTTCTCTTAGACCGATTGTCAGTGCCATACATTCCCCGACATACAACTTATCCCGCTTCCTAGCACAAACATTACAACCCTTCATTAGAAAATCTGAATCACACATAACCAACTCATCAAACTTCATACAAAAGATCCAAAAAATCCGACTACGTCCCACAGATTTGCTTGTAAGTTTTGACGTAGAATTCCTTTTCACACAAGTCCCAATAAAAAACATAATAAACATTATATTAATTAAAAATAAAGGCTTCACATGAAGTCCTTTCCAACCTCATCTCGCTAATAGAGCATTGCTTAACAACCACTGACTTTTCCTATAACAATTTTATGAACAAACTTCAGGAGTGGCAATGGGTTCTTTTATTTCTTCTGTAATTGCCAACATTTTTATGGAGCATTTTGAGAAAGAGGCGCTCAAAAAAATACCCAAAAAACTAGAAGTTTAGTTCCGTTATGTAGACGACGCATTCGTGATATAGAGACACGGCAGAGCCGAACTCTGTAAATTCCTTATTTTCTTCAATAATCAACATCTAAATATCCACTTTACTATAAACATAGAGAAAAACGGAAAACTTCCCTTCCTAAATATTTTTGCCTCTAAAAAAGCTCTCGGTACCTTAAGCCATCAAGTGTACAGAAAATCAATACACACAGATAGATACCTACATGCCGAGTCGCATCACCACCAAGCACAAAAACAGTCAGCAATCAACTCATTTGTATACATAGAGCTTTCACTCTCATCTCTGACAAAGAATATCTACAAACAAAATTCAACTATCCAAAACTAGTCTTACAAAAAAATAGACACTACAAAAAAGACATAACCAATATAATTAATAAACATGCAAATAAGACAACGGTCTCTGACACACAACCAAACGAAAAGATCCTATCCATTCTCCCATATGTCAAAGAAACAACAGAGCGAATTGACAAGATATTAAACAAACACAATATTCAAACTATCTTCAAATCACCCAAAAAGATAGGACAAATCTTATGAAATTCTAAAGATCAAGAACCTACACTCAGCTCCGCAAGAGTATACAAAATATCTTGTTTCTGCGGGCAAGTATACATATCAGGAGAAACCAGAAGAATAGTCAATCTACGGATAAAAGAACACTAATGATATCAGGCTACATGATATCGGGCTATATGATATCAGGCTAAAATACGTCACACAGTCGGCATTATCAGAATACAACATCGAAACAGGACATCAAATACTGTTTGACAAAACAATCACGATAGCCAACATTACATTATACTTTCCAAGAAAGTATAGAGAAACCAAAGAGATACAAAAACATTCTAACAATCTAAATAGAAATAATGGGTACAACATAAATAAAATATGAAAAATCATTCTCCCGATTATTGAAGACCAACCAATTTCCTCGACCTCTCTCCTATCCCATCCACAATTCTCTTCTCCCCCTCCCACCAAACAGCTCCAACAAACAGCATACAACATAATATAAAACAACATAATATAAAAAGGAACGGCCCGGAGGAATAGCTCAGTATCTGGCTGCTCCTCGTCTTGATAAAGTGGATTGCAAGGTTCACGAAACGTTGACATTCCAAAAATAGATCATCACGGAAAAAACTAGCAAAACGCATAATCTTTAAATTGTAACAATTACGCACTCTAGGGATGTACACTAAGACCTTGTACTTAATCTTAAACGGCACTACCTATTTAAGGAAGTCGTTACCCTTCAAACTTAATGCACGATGGGAGATACATAATCTTACCGTTGACTTTAAACATGCCTATTAAACCTTGCTACTTCTGCTATTTTGATTGAAAATTCAATAAAGAATTTAATTGTGTTAGTATATACTTGCGGAACGTCCTTAATGACATCCGTTCTATTCTATGTCATGGAATGAATGCTTTAAGATTATGTTTTGCTAAGAAGGAATTCTTTAAAAGATTATTAGCTGCTGTGTATGTACTTAGCTCTTGTACCAGAATCTTATCCTTACCTATCTTTTTAATTTCGTGAATGTTGTCATTGACTATTTCCATTACCTTTCCCATCACCGTAGGATATAGAGTCACAGGGATATAGAGTGTCGAATTCTTGTTTCTGACAATATCATATGTATGTCCACAATATAAGGAAGGAGATTGCATAGATGTCGCCCGCTCTTTTGTTTAGCGCACACTTGACGAATTTGCTCTTCCAGATCTTCCAGAAGTATTAGGCTGCGCATACGCCAAAGGTCACGCGCCGGCGCTCTACGCAGAACCAGTGCCAAAATTAATTGTCGTAACAGTAGCTTTCTTGGATTTGTTGTGGCTTACCATTGGATGCTTTATCTAGAGCTTTAGTGGACCTTTTCTTCGAGAAAGATCCAGGGTCTTTCTCTCATTCCATATTCTCAGCATCAGAATGAGCATCCGAGTGATCCAAACTTGTAATGTGTTGCATCAGCCTTGCAACTTCAGCCATAGCCACTGCAGTGCTGGTATCAGATTAGGATTCTGTGTCACCAGGGAGAAGAGATAAAGAGGCTTGTTTTAACAGAGATTGCCTTCTCTCAAATTTATTGAATTGTTCAAGAGTCACACGCGCATTAGCAGTCTAGGAAGGCGAGGAGAAACCCGAAGTCGAGTGTCTAATCCCACCTTCTGTGGAAACCAAAGCACTTCTAAGCGAAAAAAAATTTTGTGTCCTTCTAACTATTATGTACTAAATTAACTAAATTTAACACTAAATTAGTGCCTTAGCATCAGCGAGAGCACAAACAAAAAGGGGCAAAGCTCAGATCGTCAAATTTACAAAGCAACGCAAATGCAAGACCGCGAAGACATGTCCGCACAGTTCGAGGCGCCATGCGCGAATTATATTGCCCGTGACAGAAATTTGAATACGAGGTAAATAATACTGATAGATATGTAACCTAGCGGTAAACGGAAGAACTATGATCCGATATAACATTTCCATGCCATATTTCTGCTGTGTTTTTGCTGTTACTTTTTTGCAGCATGCTTAATTTTGACATGATTTCGCCCTCATATCATGCAAGCAATAAATTTGATTTCTGATATTTCCCAGCTTAACATAATTATATCATGTTATGCTCAGTTTTGATTTAGTTTCTGATAACGTATTGTGTCAGTATGTTTGAAATGTACTGGCTTTATGCCAAGAACTTCTGCTTAATCTTTGAAAAATTTTTTATAATATATTTTCATATTGGCATTGCTCGTTTTTATTTCTATCGACACTAATTGAGATGGCACATCATGTTCGGTTATTTCCCGAGTCCTACTAACATAGTATGTAGCCTACAAATAGTAATATATGATCTCAGCAGACTTGGCTGTCTGGACATTTGATTGGCATTATTTTGCCATACATTTAGTAGCTATTATCAGACTCAGAGGAGTCAACCACTACTAAAAAAATGTACAGTAATTGTTAATTATGGCAACACACTTTATTGCTAATATTGCTATTGTATTGTTTTTTATGTATTGTCATATATTGCGCGCAATATTGCCAAATATTGTTAAAATATTATTATGTACTGCTACGTATCACGAAAACCTCGAAAATAACATGATCATGACGATCAACTGCAAAATCGATAATTTAGTGCAACTACATTCAGAAAGTATGTACTTCGTAAGATACGTTCATTGTATAACATGATGATGAGAGCAACAAATATATGTATAACATGTATTGTACACACAATACACATACACATACACACGCGCGCACACGCACGCACACGCACACGCACATGCAGCCTTTTGCATGGGTTATCATGAACTAAAAGAAATATATAGATTATAAACCAATATTGAAATGTAGATTTCATAAATTAGAATTTATCTTTGTGGCACAGTAATAACCATTTTGAAGAAACTAAGTTCTCAAACAATCTTTTAAACCGGTTTTACTGCTTCATATTTTTTCTCTACATATCCTACAAGCAGAGATATTATTAAATTTCGGGATTTTAACTTTTCGGGATATTGTCTCATATCTAAGATTTCGGGAGTACGTCTTTTCGGGACATTGTCGTAGTTTTCAATGTTTGGATCTTTTTTTTTCAGGACTTTGCATGTCCTCTAAAAAATAATTTTTATTTAAGAAAATTTTTTGTTACGTATTAAAAATATATTTTTTTATTTAAGAAAAGTTGCAAATCTATATAAACTATTCTTTTAATTCTATAAGCAAGAAATATAACCAAAACACTTCTTCAAATCAAAGAAATCGAGCCAATAAGTAATAAATAAATAACAATTTTACCCATTTGTGATGTCACAGTGACAAATTTTTGCACTGCATAAATGTTGCATATACATTTTATCTCAATACATAATTGTTATATAGCAATTATGTCTCGCCGTTTCGTATTTATAATAAATCATATCACTGGTATGTACTCGTATTATAACTACTATAGGTAAATTTAAGAACATTTTCCTTAAATTCACATAACTTTTGATATAACTGTTACAAGTAAAAAAATTAAAACTATGTATGAGTTACGTGTTTCAGATATATCTGTGTTTGCTGAGGTGAATCATAGCGGTATATTTGCAAAATTAAATTTAGAAAGAAATTTCAGTAATTAAGAAAAATATTTCAGCTATATAATTTAAAAATATATAATTGTGCATAAAGGAATATTAAATTAATCTATATCATGTGCTTATAAATGCATAATTGAGACGGTATAAAAGCACGATTCTACTTAGGATCTTTTTAATCTTTTTTAATATAATAATATTGATTGTAATAGAGAAGTATTGCAACATGTAACTTCTTAAAGACGTTACATAAATTGATTTGTACTCATTTGTGTATAATAAACAATAGCAAATTATTTTAATTTTTATCAAAATTTTGTAATTCAGCTTTTATTCCGCCCATTCTTTCAATTCTTCTTAAATTATGATGCAGAAATATTACAACACGAAATATACATTTAGCGTGGCAAAATTTTAAGTAAATAATTGTATATATTTGATGTTATGTTATGTATATATATTTATAATATCATATTGTGCAATATTTTCACAATTTATTTATTGCGATATTGAATTATAAAATGATTAAAAGTTAGAATTCATGTAAAATTTATTATTCAGATAAAAAATAGATCTCAATTCTCAATCACTTTCGGAAAGTATGTACATTTTTTTTTAGATATTTAGAAATATATAATAATAAAATAAAACTTATCTGACAACTGATAATATTTGGAAAATCGAAAAATTTTTTTTATTATGCAACTGAATAATTAGTTGAATTAATTGAATATCCGTATTTTTAAGTCGAACTAACAGCGTAATAGATGCGTATGTACCATACATATACGTTCGAGATTATTTTTACTCAGAAGCAACAATAATTTATGCTCCCCGATCCTAATATTCCATTTTTTCTTCTTGCGGGAAAGGAAGAAAATGAAATTTATATAAGTTAATGATTAAGATAACGGTTTCTCCACAGGTATGGTTTCAAAACAGACGGGCAAAGTGGAGAAAGCAAGCTCGGTTACAATTGCTGCAGGATGCGTGGAGAATGCGATGCTTGGGTTTAGGAAGCGCTACGCCGCTACTTCTCGGCCGATCACCCTCCGGTGGTCTCGAGAGGATCAGTGACGCATCTTCAACTTCTCCGTCATCCTCATCAGCTTTCACAGGCTCGCCGAATACGACTGACAAATTAGCTGAGATTGGCAGTCCTGTATCGGTTTGCAGAGATTTTCGAATCTTGCCTTCACTGCCACCTGGGTAAGCGTCTCGAATACAGAAACATATTTTTGATAAGTATAGAGGGTGATTCAAAACAACCTAGGTGTTCCTGAAAATACGTATTTCTGACCTAATTCGAAGATAATTTTTCCTTTATGAAAATTTTATCTGAAACTTAGTTTTTAAATTACAAGAAGAAATAATTAGCGCATCACAGACCGCGTACAGGAAACGGGCAGGAGCGGCGCTCATGATTAGGCACGGATAGAGATCCTATAATCAGAGTTTGATGAAAGCGGGCAATTTCTGATTAGTTCTCAACCTTGGTCCATTCGGTATTCTTTGGACAACTTTGTATACTGTCAAAAAACGAGTGTGGAGAAAAGAAAGAAATAGATAGCTACAAGCAGATGAGTAAAACCTGTGTCAAAAAGGTTAGAAATCGTTCCGAGATCTTGAACAAAGAAAAAATTAACAAATTACAATTGCATAATTCGGTCAATTGATCAACTCGATTGATTTCTTCAAGTATTGTTGCCACGTATTGCCTGTCATGTATTTAAATACTTTTTGTATATGCGTTCATACAAGAAAGCAATATCTGTTATCTTTTTCTGTACGCCATTTTTGGTCCACATTCGTCAAACTTTGATTATAAGATTTCTAGACACGGACGCTTTACGCGCGAGGCGCATACAGATCGAACGCATTCACACGTTTTTATAAAAACACGTTCGTTCTTTCTTTCCCTTCTGTCAGACCTCTTTGACTTTCATATATTTTAAATATGCTAATTTCATTCAATTATAAATTAGAATGATGAAATTAAAATAAATCTTGAATTCTTTGAGTATTGGATTTTTTAATTATACTGATAAAATTATTAAAGAAATGTAAAAGAGCGAAATTAAATAATAATTATGTACGATAAGCGTTATAAAACTATTGACATACAAATCATATACAATTATTTCAGTACGTTGAATTCTAAAAGCGTTTTTTACAATTTGATGTACTGAAATACCTGTTATACTTAATTAAAATATGTTTGTGACGTAAATATTGTGCTGTGTTGTTGTGTACGGACTTACAAACGTGTTTCTTTCTTCGTATGATTTTCAGTCACCAAATAATCAATCATTTGTGATTGTTAGTTATTAACTGATAAATCGATTAATAAATTCCTCGTTTTATCAAGTGTAATCGAAGTGTGTTAATGTTGAAACGTAACACAATTTATAAAAGAAGAATCTTATCGTGGAAAGATGTAGCTTGATACGTACTTAAAAGATAATTAATATTTGAGGAAAGTGAATTTACAGTAAACAGTTGTATTGAGCACAGCTATTACGGCATCCAAACTTATTCCTCTGTCTATTTCAAAAAGCTAGAGCAAAATGGAATCATTGAACATCTACAAGATAATAACAATTTTATAATTAAAATAATAATAAGCTTTTAAAATTTGTTTGAAACATTTATAACTCTTTGACTGCTACAAAACGCGATCGCGTTTCTCATAAAACTTCTATAAGTAATAAATGCTACAAGCGCCATAGCGCAGATAAAATTATTAGAGAAATTAGTAAATGTTCCCCTTTACATAGCCAGCCTAAAATGACCTCCGAGTGACATTGATTTTGACCTTGATCCTCAAGAAGGTCAAGGTCATTGACCTTTTCCGTCGTTCGTTATTTATTAAAAAGTTATTAATGAAAACACTCTTATGAATAATTAGTAATTTTTGAACACATGGTACATATTTCAGCAATATAGTATGAGTTTTGCTCCACGTAAGTTGATATTTGTACGTTTGTATTAGGAATTTGAGAATAATAATATTTTGGAAAGGAAACATTGTTATTTGAGTATATTGTAACAGTCCTTTGTCTGACTTGGTAGAGTAAAGATGCTTTACGATTTTTTTCATTTAACAATTTACAATTATAAAGATCTTCTAAACTATTTATCTCATGGTTAGGGTTAAGTTAGGTTATTATATACCCATGAGTATATATACGATTTTTTTTTTATTGCGTAAGGAGAAGAAAATCTTCACATAGCCCTCTCCCGAGGAGACCCAAGAAGGTACGCCCATCGGGTGAGGGAAGACGTCTAGGCCCCGAGTTGCCTAGATGTGCCAGATTCAACTACTCCGTAATCGCGAAGGATACACCGGGATGGCCGCCTACCAGATTAAAAACTCTCCCTTTATCTGTCTACGTCCCTATTTGGGAGAGTTTCGGAATCGCGACGAGCGGACGCCCCCAGGCAGATAAGCCTGAAAGCATCCATGACTCGTAAGGATCTAGGTCATCCTATAGTAGAGGCCGGCATGCCTCCTTCTTAGCCACTCCTCCAATCTATAAGTTATTGCATCACTAACTGCCACTCTCGGCGCGTCCGGGGGGGAGCGAAAGAAGATGATCGCCCCATCTATTCAACGCACGCTTGTACTCTACTTGCTGTATTGCGAGGACAGCTCGCAATGCAACGAACCCGTCACTTCGAATAATCTCTCTCCTGCGCAGATACATTCTTCGAAATCGCTCTACAGATACCGGAATGGGATAACCTTCGCCTGTATGGCCGCGGCCTCGTGCGAAACTATCCGGTATTTCCTGATCATCTTGAGGGCCAGGATAACGTTACAGACGGGCAATGTCCCTGCAAATATAGTACATCTGTCCTTCGTCACCGTCTGCGCCCATACCAACATAGGCTGGCGTACACCCGCCGCCTGCACTCTCCAAGGCCACTGATATTCGCAGTTAACCTACTCAAGGCCACGGCCATCGAAAACAACGGGCAAATGTGGTTCTAATAATAGGACCAACTACCGAGATCTTCATGATGACGTATCGATGATCCGAAAGAGACTCATGCTCCGTCGCTACCCGCCAACTGTGACGCCCTTAAGCGCGAGAGTGGAAGCCCAAGAAATATCCACCCAAGAGTCATCCCGAGGATGTACGCAGGTTGGAACAAATCCCCTATTAAACAAGTTCAGCCCTATTCCGGCCGCCCAATACCACAAGTCGGCAAGGACCCTCTGTTATTGGGCTGACCTCTATCTTATAAGAGGAAGCGGGCATTGAAATCGCCTAAAACAAAGACCGGACGTCCCCGACAGCCCGCCACATGTGTGCCTAGGCCGTTAAAGAAGTACCAAAATTCATCAAGGATCCTATTGAGGGAGAAATAACAATCACATTTCTCCCCCATTCGACTGCCATGAATCCTTTCTCCCAAACATAGGGAGAACAGGAAGTTTGGTCCCTCGTCTACTGTCATGTAATAGCAGCAATGGGCGAATCCTCACGCGATGTTATCCACATGCCATTCTCGGGGATCAAACCCAGTGATCGACCATTAGGTCGATCCGTTCTTCCTCACAAACCCTCGCAGCAAGGTCCTGCGCGGGTCTCGACTGATTCACATTTATCTGAGCGATGCTCATAAGTGTCGATGACCGCATCCATCGTCCATGTCCGCCGAGGTTCTCCGATCAGCCTTTACACCATCCTCAGTATCCCACCCCGCGCATGACCGTTAAAGGAAGGGCAAGTTCTGCCTCTCCCCCTCTCGCCCTGTGATCTGACTTCAACCCGCGCTCCAAACCGGGCAGTGAGGCCGGGTTCTACACAGTGCAAGAGCATGGCTCAACCCCCCCCCCCACAATTAAAACAACATTGACTACGATCAATGCCGCTCAGACAAAAAGGTCTGGTGTGCCTAATCGCCATGCACCTGAATCATTGGAAGTGTCTTCTGGCGAAGGGCACCACTCGAGCTATCGACCATCCAAGCCTAACTTTGCCCGCCTCCGTAAGTCTCACGATCCCGTTTACCGGTCACTGAACTCAACCGCATTGAGACCTCCTTGGCGAATCGTTCTAACGCAAACATCTTCACGAGACACCATACTCTCAGCGGGCTGCCCTATGGCATTTCTTATCTCGTCTGGCTCCATCGACTGATCAACGTTAATTAGCCGGAATTCCGCGCGCCTAACAAGGCGAACACAAACCGGACTTTATTCTGTTTCCTATACAAGTCTCTTAGCCGACCAACCAATGCATCCGTCTTTATATCGGAATCCTCACCGTATCTCGATCAATAATCCCCCAGACTGAGCTTTCCGAATCTTAGTGTTGGTAATGCCCAGATCCGATTTCAAGAGAAATGTTTTTGCAGGCATTACCGCGCAGGCATTATCAGCTCCGCGTATGTGGGAGCTTTTGACATAGAATTATCACAGCCGATGTCTTAGGAACTAACCTTAGAAGCATTCAGACGACGCAAGCCTCTCGCCTGTGCTCTTGCAGGCCCAGAGAATCGATTCCGACTAGTCCTCTACCCCCTCTCTCTGGGACACTCACAGTCGGTACCAACATAACACCTTTTTTCTTCTTCATCTTTTCTCTTCCCGGAGATTTCCGTCCAGGGTTGGTCTCCACGATTGGGACTAGAAGATGGCCAATCCCTCGCCTCGTTGTCTCCATCATATTCCCTGTGAAAAATCGCTGGCTTGCTTATTACGATGCGGCCCTAGTATCCATTTTTGAGAGCAGCGGAAAGTTCTCCAGCCTGTTGCCGAGCCTGCCACCCAACGAAGGGCGACAAACAAAAGGGATGAGAGTATTTTAGATTGAGGACGAGAGACTCCCGCATAAATCAGAATTCTCTCTAACGGCGTGTTCTGATCTGCAATCAATAAAGAAGAGGTCTCGACTTTCCCGCGAATCACATCTCTCTTCCTTATTTTCTCTCGTAGGAATCTCATTTTCGACCTCAATGAGTTTCTGTCTGCTTTGAGGATATCAAACTCCTTCCTGAATTTGATAAGCTCCCTTTAACGCAGCACATCTATTCGTCGCCGCCTCATTGTGTCCTCCAGCTTGCAGGATCGCCGCAGCTAACTCCTAAAGGTTCGCGGCACTGCCTCCTTAGCCACATTGTATAGCCGACTATCATACGCCGTTTTAAATCCTATTTGATAGAGGTCGAAACCCTCTGTGCCTCGTCTACTGCGTCTAAGAAGCGTCTCCGCCATTATCGATATGTGTGGAACAGCTGTGTCATTTCTTCCACAGCTGTTTTTTGTTTCGATAATCTGTCATCCAATATGCATTCGACTAATTCGTGACGCCTCTTCACCGACGACGAGAATCTCGATGACTTTGAAGATCTACTCGTCTTTGTTATATCGAAGAAGTCATCTCTATCTAAGTCCTCATCCTCGTAGTTCATCCTCGATGAGGACATCTTAGAGAGGGAGTGGGAACCGGGAGCATTGCTACCTTTCTTCTTTCTCTCCCTCTTTTTTCTTCGAGATCTGTCCATGCGCTCTTTCATCTCCATGGAATCGGCGAAATATCCACAATCGACTCCGTCTTCTGCTTATCCATAAGCAGTGTCCGGCATGGAGACGGGAGAATTTATTATATTGTCCCCTTGCGGCGATACACATAATTGCATCAACTTTGGCTAGATCTTAGAGGGCTGCAACATTACATTATTTACGGGGAATACCAGTAGAAGTGCTAGAAATTGCACTCACTTTTTCCAGTAACACTCGCGGCATCGTAGGTCCCCCCTTGACCTCAAGTTCACTCACAGGTGTTCCACTCTTGCTATCATGTATCCGCGTCATAACAATTCTCGAGGATGTCCGTCTGCTTGTCTTCGGTGTCAAGAATCTCGAACTCTCGGGAGTGCCGCACTTACCCATTGCACTTACAGCAGCTCCGACGATAACCGTATCGACTGCGGGGCCCGTCGAGAACCCCGCAGTCAGCCCCTCGCATGATGACAATCGCCCAGAAGCGGGGACGTTACCCCCAAACGTTACGACCGTGACAGGGATCCGACCACTTGCCGTATGTTATCATTTTCCGAGCTCATGTCTATAACGTTATAGATTGAAAATAACGTTATAGAATGACGTTCGAGCAAGAGGCTCGCCTGCATACCCCTCGCCCAGCTCCTAGCCCAGTCCGCACGGTTGAACGCAGTCGGTCCGTCAGTGGCGGAAACACTATCACCAATCGCTCCTCGCCATGAGGTAACCATAAGGCAACATCGCCGATAATAAATAATTAAAATACTACTCACCATTTGAAGATCATTTAAACTGTCCTAGGAGAGGAAAAACACGACGCAAAATTCTTCCCAGGCGGAGATAATCCACGCCCTGGTAATATGGTGGCATACCTCGTTCAGAATCTCTTCCCCTCTCACGAGAAATCCTCTCCTGATAGATGGGTGAGATAGAGGTCCACATCGTTTCAAGCAGAGGCTCTCATTTCTTCCACACATGATTCCCCGTCACTACACTATGTACATAAGGTAAATAAATTTACCTACACGTGGATAACTACCTCGGACCGCGCGCGCGTCCGGGAACACAAGCTCACTCGCAATGCGAGCCGGGCTTCTGACATTTCTGACGCGGGAGTTTCACTAGCTCATCGATGTCACATCAGCAAGCAGCGGACATCAACACGTAGGCGAACGACGCACACGCAGACCAGCGCACCCACTAAGGTACTAAATCACCGTTACTTCACTAATACTAATATGTCCACTAAAACAAAATACACAAAATCCACTTTCTATAATATCCGTTCGTAATAAAGTCTCTGGACATCAAAGTTCGTATGCATTAACGCACGATTGTCAGTATCTCTCGACTCTCCCCGCATGGCCACTGTTGGGTGGTTCACCCATTCATGTCATAGCCGCGCACTTCTGCCCACGAGACAGGGGGACTCTTTTATAGAGGGTCCAAAAATGACTCGCTGTCCGAAAAATTGGGTGCAATCTCGGACGCTCGATCTTTTCTAGTGGTGCACGGGAAGAAATTACGAGAGCTCAAGCACCGCGGGTTTGCTATACTTGTAATGGAATCATATCGCGACGCGTTTGAAGGGACCGGATCGCATCGAAAATGATCCCATCCCTTGCGGAGATGAGTATATGACCTAACTCTAACCCAGCCATATACCATGGTTAGGGTTAGAGTTTATATATTTATGGATATATAATAATCTAACCCTTTTTTTCTGATAACGGAGGGGAAATGCGCCGTGTGCTTTGGAGAATCCAGGGTTATGTGAGACTCGCACCTACTAAAACCCCTCCGGGTGTCCTGCATTGGTCCTGATTCAAGGGTCTCCAGGAACGCGTGCAGCATACCTCCAGGGACTCCTGAAACTTGCCGGAGATGGTCGCCGACTCGTACCCGCCGGGTTTTTTTTTTAATACCGAGTACCCTGCGCGGGTGTGCCATATTGCCATAT